GCTGTGATTTGTTTATCGTTTTTCTTGCTTGTATCTCCCTTCGGTACTATTTCTTGCTTAGCCTTGTGATTATCTAACATTTCCAATGTGCGACATCTTTCTTACAAAAAGTCGAAGAATTCTGTGAGGGTGAGCATATGATCCGCCTCCTGTTGTCCTACTTTTTCCTCCCATGCATGTTAAGTGTGAAAATCTAGCTTGCTCTTTGCTAAAAAATATAATAAGTGTAGCCCATTGATTGGTAGGTTGTTTTAATACTTCTAATGCCTTAAGATGTGTGTGAAGATGCATAATGAGCTGTTTCATTGACGTATGTTTGTCTCTTGTCATAGCAGAGAATTCTAAAAGTTTAGCTAGATGACTATTTATAATCAATCTCTTGTTACCGTATTGAATTGTTAACAACTCCCATACACTCAAATAGTTTGCTGCAGATGTATTCGAACCGCTTATGACTTGTAAAGTTTAATCTTTTAATTAACTACGCAGATACTGAAACTTCTGCGGTTAACTTGTGATTGTTATGTATTAATGACTCAAATGCATCTTTGAACAACATCCATTGTTCGTACTCATCTCCAAATACTGGTAATTTTACGGTAGGTAATTTAACATCGACCTTACTTATTTGTTGTAGATTTGCATCCTGATCTTGTCCCTGTGCTTGTGCTAGCTGCGCTGCTGGCACTGTTGCTTCCATTATAGCCTGTGCCAGATTCCATGCCGCCTTGAAATATGACTCCTCGAAGACTGCTCTCTCGCCTTGCTCTTCTTGTGTGACTTGCTCTACTTGTTCATCTTCTGTGATCTTCATCACTTCCAGTTGCGTTTGATTGCTATCAAATGCAGCCCATAATTCTTGTAATTTAACTGCTCTCGATTGTGCTTGTGCATACGTTATATTTTCCGTGGACGTTAAGAATGTATTTATCTTTGTGACTTGCCCCTTTAATTGAGCACGTATGAATTTTCTTAATTCACTTATGCTGCCTTTAGGTTAGAAAACCGCTTATAAGTTAAAAACTTGTTATATCAAACGCTGCTGGCCTTATGCACTCGCGTTTCTTATTTCCGACGACGACGATATATGTATTCGACGACTGCCTTGAATTTTGTGCGATCTTATATTTAAGCCTGCACTTTGCTGTGACTTACCTTTGAACGTGATAGAATTTTCTCGATCGTACCACCGGCCTAATTGTTTGCCTCTTTTTTCGTTATACTGCTTATTTACTCGTGCCGCACGTTGGGCGCCAAATGTTCGTGTAAATAATAATGCTTGGTTCTAGTAAAAATAATTGCCTTTAATAAAACTTAATACTTGCACGAGATACAATGTGCTCGTCTTGCCACCATAACTAACCTGACTTACATAGAATATATATAATGAGCGCGCGGCTCGCTTTACCGACACGAACGCTTCTACAGATACTTATTCTTAACATCCTCTAAATATATGTTAAAAATTTTCTCCATAGACTCCCATCCCACGGTGGACAAGTTATTTGATCTCTTGTGGCAATTAAGAGCCAATCTTTCTAAAGATCCTTCTGGCAAATTTCTACTCTTCAGGAGTTTCTGCAATTTAAGGAAGTACTATTATAGAATAGCACATTTCGATCTCCCCCCTACTATAACACCGGCTATGAAGCTCTGCTGCACGAGCCCAAGGTTGGCTCTCTGACCCCACGGGAGGTAGACGATATAAAAAATGCACCTATTCCCCAAATGGTCTTCCTTTCCATTCATGCTGACCTCCTGTCGGATCACTGCTTTTTCTATACAGATGGCTCTAAGACGGAGCCTAGAAATTATGTTGGCTTCGTCACCTACTCGCCCACACTCAACCTTCAGTTCATGTACAAAACTAGCTCGCTGGCCTTTATTTTTACGGCGGAAGCCTTGGCTATCCTCTACTCTCTGGACCATATATTAAAGAATTCTATCCCAAAATCCATTATTTTCACTGACTCCAAGGGGATGACAAAGGCCTTAACCTCCTTCTCTCTGAATCACGCATACAACTATATCATTTACCAAATTAAACAAAAACTTTATGATATCAAGCTCAAGAACCTTCAAATAGGATCATCTGGATTCCCGCTCGTACCGGCATTCTCGGCAACGAGACGGCAGATCATCTTACCAAAAGAGCTATTTCCAGGGTTCAACAAGCATCTGATCCAATTTCGCACATTGATCTACATTCAATCCTACGTGAAGAATTCATTTCGGACTCAAGCGATTTTCTAACTTCTCAAAGAAGATCCAAAGGTATCCAATATTTTTTAAACTTCGGTAAACTCGCCAAGACGCCTTGGTTTCAAGGTCTAAATTTATCACGCCAAGAAATCTCCACCTGCTGCAGACTCAGAAGTAATCACTACGCACTAAACCAGAGTTTGTACAGATGCCACCTTATTGAGTCTTTTGTTTTCTTGCGGTGCGATTCAAGACGCCGACCATATCTTTTAGAGCTGCCCTGCTTTGGGCAACCAAAGGATCACACTATTTAAGAATCTAGAAAAATTCAAGCGGATTCCACCACTCAAGATAGTGAATCTCGTCGCAGATCTCATCCCAGGAATCATTACTTCCCTTATATCCTTCCCAAAGCAGTGCAATATTCAAGTTTGATTTTCACTCATAACATTCATTCTCAACACTCCAATCAATTGAAAGCTTAGGCATTCAACGCTTTTTCTTTCAACTCAATTTGAAACTTGGCCGGCAAGAAAAACCCAATCAGGGTTATATAGGCCATAAAACCGTGAAGAAGAAAAACCTTTGTCACAAAGAAACGGGACGTAGTAGAATACTTTCTGAGGAGGTCGAATTAAAGCTTGAACTTTAAACTTTATAATGTTATGAAGTAAAAAAACATGTGCCAATTTTGTGAAGTCATGCAACACAAATTTTTTGACTGGACGCGCGCCAATTTTGATCTCGCATTTGACGCGGGAACTTGGTTATATCAAAAATCTTGAAGTAAGCCGACGTTAAAGTTTTCTGAAATGAAAAATGTTATATTTAAAAAAAACTGAATATGATAAAAAATAAAAAATATTAGATTTTTACAATAAAGATATCCAACAAAACTATAAAAACTTCAAAATTCTTTTATGACATTCGTGTATCTATAAAATAATTACAAAAGATTTTTAAGTCACACACAACAGTATTGTTGCAAATTACTTGAAACTTTAACGTCGGCTTCAAAGGACCGGGTGATTTTAGCTTGTGATTCAAATTGTGGTTTTCCCGGTTATTATAGCTAGAAAGGCTGTTTTGTTCGTACTAAAATAATAAATACGCACCTAACTGTTATATCGTAAGGAAACTTCAACCTCCATCTCGTAGGGTGTATCGTAAAAAACGATTCGGTTTTAATTTGACTTTTGCGCGCGAATTTGGGACCGCGCCTTTCGCGCGTAGTAATACTCGGCACGGGGCGTACCCAGGAGCCCCCCACTCGGGAGAGCGAACCAGAGCTAACTCGATCGCGGAGAGAAGCGGACGCAAACGTGAGGCAACACGTTTTTCGCGAGAACAAAGGCGACAAGTACATTTTACCCGCGATAACGCTTTCAGTTACCCTTAAGTGCAACAAAACTAGCTTGTATTCTAACCGAGGCAAATAAATATTGTAAAGAAGAAAAGTCAAAAATTCTTTTCGATCACATCGTCGCTGACACACTCCTTCCAGAGACACGTGTGGCGGGCACATGCCCTCAGCATAATCATTACGCAACAAAGTTGGTCCTTCGAGCCGGATTTATTATCCGTTCATCTGTGCTTCGGAAGAAAAGTGTCGAACAACCCGGGAATCAAACGGGCGAAATTCTCCAACGCACTGCAAACTTTCGGCATCGCAACAGAGGTATCAAATTACATGCCGCGACAGGCAATATCTACTACAGTACGATCTTCCGAACGGCTGGCTGATATCATTCACGCAATCAGGCAGCTTCAAATATTTCGGAAGAAATCATCAACGGCATCCAGAAATTTATTCTGGACTACCAGACTACAAACACGACTAGCGACGCAGCGAGACCGACACATCAAGGCGGCTTCCTCGAGATCGCGTCACGTGTAGACATTGCGGCGATCTCTGCTATATCACGATTTTCCGGACAGCTAACTGACGTTATCGACGCAATCGGGCGGTCTCTTCCTACATACGGAAATTATCGACGGCATCCAGAAATTCATCCCAGACAACGAGACTGCAGGCACGAGCACCGACGCAGCGAGAGCGGCACATCAAAGCGGCTTCCTTGGGATCGCGTTACGTGTAAACATTGAGGTAAGGGTGACTATTTCTTAGCGGCGCCAACCCGTATTCATTTCGTAATAACAAATAAACTCATCAATTCAATATGACTGATATCGCATCGCTCAAAAGAAAGCGCGCGACCATCAGGGCTTCATGCACGCGAGTCAAGATGTACGTAGATGCCATTGTTTCCGTTACGCCGCCTATCGTAGCCCAACTTGAAGAGCGTAAAAATAAATTAGACGAATATTGGTAGGATTACAATGACGTACAAACGCAAATTGAGTCACTCGACAGAAATGAAGCAAGTAATCGTGACAATTTTGAGGAGGCATTTTTTTCGTTATCCAGAAGAATGCGGGAGCTCATTAAACCCGCATTGCCGAACTCAACAGAAGACTCACGGTCTTCATCACGCGGTTCTGACGCGGTAGAAACTCATTTCAATGTTCGGTTGCCGAAACTAAATTTGCCGACATTTTCCGGAAAATACGATGAGTGGTTTCCCTTTCACGATTCTTTCAATTCTATTATACATTCCAATCGCACGCTAAATAATATACAAAAATTACAATATTTGAAATTTTCGCTAACCGGTGATGCGAGCAGTGTCGTAGACTCTTTAGAAATTAACGATTTAAATTATGATATCGCGTGGAATCTTTTAAAAAAGCGCTACGATAATAAACGCGTTGTCGTACAAACTCATGTAAAGGCAATCATGGACCTGCCATCCATGCCTAAGGAAAATTTAGTTGATTTGCGACATATCGCTGACGGAGCGATTAAACACATCAAAGCATTGGAAGCGCTCGGGCATCCTACTTCACATTGGGACGACTTAATCGTGCATGTTTTAAGCTCCAAATTAGATACACTCACAATGCGAGAGTGGCAATCGTCACTGACCGGTACAAACCCTCCTACGTTCGAGGAATTTAACAATTTTATAATCCGTCGATGTCAAATGCTTAAAGCCACAGGAAAAACAATTTCTTCGTGCAACAAAAACGTTAATAAGCAGTCCAGTTTAAAGCGTCAAGCCTCATGTGTCGCGACGGTCAAGCCTAAATGTAATTTTTGTAATGGCGATCACGTCATCTATTATTGCAAAGATTTTTTAGCATTATCAGTATCGCAGAGAATAACGGAGATTCGCAATCGAAAAATTTGCAATTGCATGCGTTCTTCGTCTCATGCGTCCGCCAAATGCACATCAAAGGGTTGCAGAGTATGTAACGCCAAGCACAACACGTTACTACATTTGGCAAACAATACAAGCGGAATACAGGAAGTCGAATCAACTAAGGCCAAGGAGACAAATTCCGTAAGCTCATCGACGACGCTGGTGATGCACGCCTACAGCAACAGCATTAAAAATCACATTATGCTCTCAACCGCAGTAATTAACGCTTCCCACGCCAATGGATCAACAAGAACTTGTGTGTTATTGGACAATGGGTCTCAGGCAAACTTTATCTCAACAAATTGTATGAAGCTACTCGGATTACGGTCTCGACCTCTAAATATTTCTATAACGGGCATAGGTGATACGGCTACGAAATCTACTCACGTAGTCAGGGTAAAGTTGCAATCTCGGTACACCTCATACTCCGCTACAATTGACTGTATTGTTACAGATCGAATCACAGGTGACCTTCCGGCTTTCACTATTAAGTGAGAAGCATATAACCTTCCTTGCAACATCAAATTGGCAGATCCGGAGTTCAACATTTTGTCTAGCATTGATATATTGATTAGAGCCGAGGTATTTTTGGAATTATTATGCGTGAGACAAATCAGGGCCTCCTCCGAACACCCGACATTGCAAAAGATGCAATTCGGTTGGATACTGGCTGGTTGTTTAAATAATCTACCAATGACCACGCATAACGTACAATCTTTTCACGCAACTCTCACTAACAATCAAATGCATGACCAATTATCAAGGTTTTGGGATGAAGAGGACCCTCGTATCGTCGCCGAGCACACCAAGGCAGAAACATTTTGTGAGAATCATTTTTTGGCTAACACTTCTCAAGACTCTTATGGCAAATACACAGTCAAACTTCCAGTTAACGAGTCATTGATCAATCAGCTTGGAGACTCAAAGAACATAGCCTTGAAACGCTTGCGAAACTTGGAAAAACGCTTCTGTCGAGAGCCCGCATTAAAGGAACAATATGCACGGTTCATTTCCGAATATTTATCCCTAGGCCATATGAAACAAGTAAGCGAATTACCGAACGAACACGAGCCGTCTTATTATTTGCCACACCATTGCGTGTTCAAAGGCTCAGGACCATCGTCAAAGATTCGCGTCGTTTTTGACGCTTCATGCAAGAGCGCATCGGGCGTGTCATTAAACAATGCCTTAAGCGTCGGCCCGGTTGTGCAACAAGATTTAACGTCAATCTTACTGCGATTCCGTACATTCGCGTACGTATTAGTAGCCGACATTGTAAAAATGTACAGGCAGGTATTTATACATCCAACGCAAACGCGTCTGCAGAGGATATTGTAGCGAGATGACCCTTTTCTAGATGTTAATATTTATGAACTAATTACAGTCACCTACGGAACATCCTCGGCATCCTTCTTGGCCACAAGATGTTTAAAGAATTTGGCTGAGCGGTACGCATCAAAATTCCCAGTTGGGTCGACACACCTTCTGCACGATTTCTACGTCGACGACATGCTCACTGGAGCAGACAGCATCCAGGAGGCCAAATCGATTCGAGATGAAATAATACAATTATTGAAGCTGGGATCGTTCGAGCTCAGCAAGTGGGCTTCAAATCACCCACAGTTATTAGATTCGTTTGATAGCCAAGGCGACAAGCCGATCCCTATCGAGGATAAAACTCCCATGTTCTGGGGATACAATGGAATCAAGACGCTGACACGTTTCATTTTTCATACACGTCCTATGCAGAACACAAGTCCGTGTCAAAACGAACTATATTATCTGAGATCTCTATGTTGTTTGATCCCTTAGGTCTCATTGGTCCTACGATAGTTATCGCCAAATTAATACTTCAGGACCTTTGGAAACTGGGCGTACAATGGGATGAGTCTCCGCCGTTGCACATACATACTCGTTGGTCAACAATCAAGTCACAGCTGGTGGAGTTAAATCAATTGACAATACCGCGTCGAGTCAAGTTCGACGCCAATCCACAGGCCATCCAGATACATGGATTCTGCGATGCGAGCCAACACGCCTACGGAGCCTGCGTATACATCAAAACGGGAAGGAATCCCAGCAATTATCGTGCGGAATTGCTCTGTTCTAAATCCCGCGTGGCGCCTTTGAAGGCTATATCGCTACCGCGTCTAGAACTTTCGGCGGCCCTGATATTGGCACGTCTCATTGAGAGGATCCAAGCGGCGATAGACCTGTCGGATATCCAAATATACCTCTGGTCGGATTTAACCATCACTTTGAATTGGATAGCATCCCCATCTCGCAAATGGGCTGTATTTGTTGCCAATCAAGTGGGAGAAATCCAGCGATTAACCGAGTCAAAATGCTGGCGTCATGTACTATCAGCTCAGAATCCAGCCGACATGCTGTCACGGGGACTCAACCCTCGTGATGTAATCAACGCTAGTACTTGGTGGCATGGACCAAACTTCCTTCAGCTTGATCAAGAGCACTGGCCAAGCAGCGACTTTCCTCAGCTGGGCGAGGGCGCTCCTGAAATGCGAAAGATATTCACTACCACCACTATTGTCGATTGTGACATAGTCGACAAATTGTTAAGCAAGTATTCCAACCTGGACAAGACCTGCCGTATTTTAGCTTACTGCTTGAGGTTTGTAAAGGCAAGCCCAAGGCAACAGACATGTTTCATATCACATGAAGAAACTTCAGCAGCATTGCATCTGATGTGTAGGCTAATTCAACGGCGCTCCTTTCCCAAAGAATGCAAGGCGTTAACCAACAGCAAAGCTATCAATCTATCTAGCAAAATTTTATCTTTGTCTCCGTTTATGGACGAACAAGAATTAGTTCGTGTAGGGAGCAGATTGAAGAATTCAAATTTGTCTTTCGCGGCATGTCATCCTATACTTTTACCTCGTGATCAACAATTAACAAAACAAATAATAATACGAGAGCATAGACGCAACATGCATGCAGGGACCCAAGCTACTATGGCTGCCGTCAGACAGCAGTTCTGGCCTCTATCTTTGAGATTCGCTGCACGTAAAATCATTTTAGGTTGTGTAAAATGTTTTAAGGCCAAGCCTACGTTTTCTGAAGCTTTAATGGCTTCCTTGCCCGCGGGTCGCGTAACAGTTTCGAGGCCATTCTCGCATTGTGGAGTTGATTACGCGGGCCCTATAATATTAAAAGAGGGTAAACGTCGAAATGCGCAAAACCATAAGGCATACATATCTCTTTTTGTTTGTTTTGCGACTAAGGCGATACACTTAGAAGTAGTAAGTGATCTAACCACTGAAACATTTATAGCCGCTTTCAAGCGGTTCATATTGCGTAGGGGGAAACCATCTCACATGTATTCCGATAACGGAACTACCTTCGTCGGTGCTCAAAATCAGCTCAAGGAATTCTTTGAATTTCTAAATAAAGACCGAACGCAGGACGATGTAAAACAATTCCTTCGTGATCAACAAATTAGCTGGAACTTCATTCCTCCTCACTCGCTACACTGCGGCGGTTTATGGGAAGCAGCGGTGAAATCTGCGAAATACCATATGACGCGCGTTATTAGTAACGCTCATTTGACGTTTGAGGAGATGCAAACAGTTCTTTGCGAAATAGAAGCAATTTTGAACTCGCATCCTATCACCGCGTTAGCATAAGCACAGATCCGAATGATCTTTCTTATATAAGTCCGAGTCACTTCCTGATTGACGCCGCTATGAATAGTTCCCCTTGTCCCAATCTAGATGATGTAAACGAGAATCACTTGGTACGATGGGAGCGAGTGGAACAGCTCAGACAACACTTTTGGCGCAGGTGGAGCTGTGAATACTTAAATTCACTACAATCCCGCTCGAAGTGGAAGTCTGATAAGGATCCCCAATTGCAACCAGATCAAATAGTGCTTATAAAACAGCCAAACTTAACTCCGTTGCATTGGCTGCTAGGGCGCGTGACAAAAATTCACGTCGGAGCAGACGAGATTCCACGTACTGCGACTGTTAGAACCACCAAAGATTCTTTTACGCGATCTTTGTCTAGCCTCGCGATAATTCCCATGGAGTCGTTGGACGCGACTTGTTAACTTCGTTCAAATTATTCTATTGTTAAAATTATTATATTTGTATTCATTTTATCGATATACATATACCTTGTTCATTTATGTATTTTGTTTGCGTTTATTACGTCCACGACTGTTTATCTTAAGATAACTACTAGATATCTACAGGCAATATTATTCAATTTATTTGTAAGTTGCGGTTTTCCATTCTTTAAGGAACGCATAGTCATGTAAACCAAAAAGCAATTTATTTTATGTTTATTTTGAAAGTCAGCTCTTTGAAGGCGGGTGGTGTTGTATCGTAAAAAACGATTCGGTTTTAATTTGACTTTCGCGCGCGAATTTGGGACCGCGCCTTTCCCGCGTAGTAATACTCGGCACGGGGCGTGCCCAGGAGCCCCCCACTCGGGAGAGCGAACCAGAGCTAACTCGATCGCGGAGAGAAGCGGACGTAAGCGTGAGGGACACGTTTTTCGCGAGAACAAAGGCGTCCAATACATTTTACCTGCGATAACGCTTTCAGTTACCCTTAAGTGCAACGAAACTAGCTTGTATTCTAACCGAGGCAAATAAATATTGTAAAAAAGAAAAGTCAAAAATTCTTTTCGACCACATCGTCGCTGACGCACTCCTTCCAGAGACATGTGTGGCGAGCACATGCCCTCAGCGTAATCATTACGCAACATAGAGTGTGAGTAAAAAGGCCTAAAATATCAGATAACCTAACCTAACCTAACAATTGACCTGACGAGAGGACGACGAGAAGGCTCTCCCCCCTTCCGGTGTCCGAAGATGAGGTATTCTATAGCGACCAAGACACAAAAAGTATGAAGGATCTATCGAAGGAAAAGATTATAGAGATAATTCATGACACCAAAAAAGCTGGGAAAAAAAACATCACGAAGAATACACAGAAGAAAAATCAATAAGACCCAGTAGGATGGAAGTCGACAACAATAATCCTCCGTCCTCCACATCGCCTAAAGATAGAAAAAGGAAGAAGAATAAGAGAGAAACGATAGTCACACAACCAATGTCCACTCCAAGAGTGAAAGAGAAGGTGAACACACATCTAACGTCGTCCTCAAATGAAACAGAATATGAATCAAACACTGAAGAAATAAAATCTTTTTACAATGATAAGAGCCGTCCACCTTTTATAATATTGTATACATTAAGTACAAACAAGAGGGTAATAATTTTGTATTACACGTGCATGCAAAATGGCACTTTTTATAAGCGATTTCTGTACGCAAAATAACGATTTACCAACATCTACCTACAAAATATTACACACGTCATATCCAAAGCCTTATCTTACGGGAAAACCGTGGGCAATAACTTGTTGCTCACGGGTATCAAGCCTTGTTTGTAGCGACTTATAAATAAATTCACCAGATCTTTGAAAAAGTAATGTTTATTCATTGAAAGTATAAAGCGAAAGAACAAAAAGAATTAATATGTAACAAATAAATGAATGAATGTGTTGTTATGGAAATATTGATTTTTCTTAAAAACATTATGTATATTAATGAATTGAAGTTATTACAAATGTATAAAGATGTAAAAAGTGTAAAAGTGCAGTGAAAAGTGTAAGGAGTAATAAAAGTGTAGAGTGTAAATGAAAGGTGTGGATGATGAATGCTACAGTACTCCCCCCCAAGTGACGATATTCGTTGCGAAATGGACTTTCTTCTTCTTTGGTGGGTAGGTGCGTAAAGCTTTTCCAACAGTAGAAGAAGAAGAAGGATTTGAAGTAGCAGAAACAGGAGCTGAAGTAGCAGGAACAGGAGCTGAAGTAGCAGGAACAGGAGTTGAAATAGCAGGAACAGGAGTTGAAATAGCAGGAACAGGAGCTGAAGATCTGGTAGAAAGTTCAGTAGAATCTGAAGTTCTAGGAATGAAGGCTGGCTTGAGACGTTCTGTCGAAATATTGACAACTCTTCCTGAAACATTAACTGCAAATAAATGATCAGAGATACGTTTCTCAATAGGAAAAGGGCCAGAATAAGGAGGTTGTAGTGACTTCCTAACAGTATCTTCTCGAATCCAAACATGAGTACAATCAAAAAGATTCTTGTGAACAAAAGGTGATCTTTTGCAATGATGACTTGTAGGAGATGATCTGATATTCCTCATATGAATCCTGTGTTTTTCAAGAAAGATTTCAGGATCTGCAGGAAAATCTTCTTCAATGAAAAATTCTCCAGGAATACGAAGAGTGGATCCATAAAGAAGTTCTGCAGGTGAAGCTTTTAAATCTTCTTTGAAACACGAACGTAATCCCAAAAGAACTGAAGGTAAAGATTCTACCCAGTTGGTTGTTTCGTGGCACATAATCGCTGCTTTCAAAGTCCTATGCCATCTTTCCAGAATTCCATTTGAAGCAGGATGATAAGCAGAAGTTCTAATCCTTTGGCATCCAATTAGGTTTGTTAAAGCTTTGAATAAAGCTGCTTCAAACTGAGGACCTTGATCTGTTGTAATGCTGATAGGAGAACCAAAACGTGCTACCCAATGTGAATAAAATGTTGTAGAAATAGTTTCAGCAGAAATCTCAGAAATAGGAACAGCTTCAGGCCATCTGGAAAAACGATCAATCATAGTAAGACAATAACGGTAATTTTGACAAATAGGAAGTGGTCCAACAATGTCTAAATGCACATGCTGAAAGCGTTGATCAGGAATTGCAATCTTAATTGGAGAATTCTTGGTGTGTCTTGAAATCTTCGCACGTTGACATGGAAGACAAGTTCGAGTCCATTCCTTCACATCTTTCTTCAAAGAAGGCCAAATGAATTTCAGTAGTAATTGTTTAGATGTCAATCTGCCGCTGGGGTGAGCGAGTCCATGAACAACATCAAAAATTCTCTTGCGTAAGAGTTTAGGAACATATGGACGAATTAATTCCGAAGAGCAATCACAATAAATAGGTATGGTTGATCCTGAAAGAATAAGTTTCTTCAACAGAAGTGAAGAATTTGAAGAAAGTAAAACTTGAAGTTCTTCATCTTCTTTCTGATAATTAGCAAGTTCTTCTAAAGAAACTATAATAGGCATTGAAATAGATTCAATTCTTGACAGAGCATCAGCAACTGAATTCATTTTTCCAGAAATATAGGTAATATTTGTAGAGAATTGAGCAATAAAGTCCAATTGTCTGATCTGTCTTGGTGACGCTTTATCCAATTTCTGACGGAAAGCAAAAATCAAAGGTTTATGATCAGTTCTGATAATCAATTGTCTTCCTTCAACAAAATGCCTGAAATGTTTAATAGCCAAATAAATGCTAAGAAGTTCTCTATCATAAGTGCTATAATTTCTTTGAGCTTTGTCTAGTTTCTTTGAGAAAAATGCTATTGGTTTGATATCGTCGTCAATAGACTGTTCAAGTGATGCACCAACAGCAAAGTCAGAAGCATCACAAGTTAAAATAAGAGGAGCATGAGGAGCAGGATGAGAAAGGGTAGTAACTTGTAAAAGTTCTTCTTTACATGACTCGAAAGCTAATTCCGCTTCTTTAGTCCAAGAAATAATTCTTCTATCCCTCTTGCGACTGTCCTTTAAATATTCTGTTAACAGAGCTTGATGATTTGCAGCATCCTTGAGACAGCGACGATAATAATTGATAATTCCTAAGAATCTGCGTAATTCATGAAGTGTCTTAGGTTTAGGATAATCAATAATTGATTTCACTTTTTCGGATGTAGGTTTAACTCCTTGGTTAGAAACTAAGTAACCAAGAAAAGAAATCTCGCTTTGACCGAAAAGACATTTAGCGACATTGATTGTCATTCCAGCTTGTTGAAGACGATCAAAAATAATGCGTAAGTGAGCAATATGTTCTTTCTCATCTTTAGAAGCAATAAGAATGTCATCAAGATAACAAAAGGCAAAACTCAAATCATTAAGTAAAGAGTTCATGAGCCGTTGAAAAGTTTGGGCTGCGTTTCGTAAACCGAAAGGCATTACGACAAATTCAAAAAGCCCAAATGGAGTAGTGACAGCTGTTTTGTGAATATCTTCTTTAGCGACGGGTACTTGATAGTACGCTTTAACTAAGTCGATTTTAGAAAAGATATTCTTACCAAAAAGTGAAGAAGAAAAATCTTGAATATGAGGTAAGGGATAACGATCCGGGATAGTCACTGAATTGAGTGCACGATAATCACCACACAGTCTCCAAGAATTTTGTTCCTTTTTAGGTACCATATGTAGAGGGGCTGCCCAGGAGCTGCTTGAAGGCCTGCAAATTCCTTGCTCCATCATAGACTTGAATTCTTCCTTGGCACATTTAAGTTTCTCAGGAGTAAGTCTTCTGGGAGTCGAAAATTTAGGAGAACCTTCCGTAACGATATGATGTTCAACACCATGTGTTTTTACCGAGGAAATTGGAGAAAAACGGGTGAGTCCTGGAAATTCGGTTAAAAATTTGTGGTACACAGAATCAGGAGATGTGGTAAAAATTGACAAATGTGCAACTTCTTGAATTTTTCCAGTATTCATAAGACCGGTAACATTATCAATCAATTTCTTGTTTTTAATGTCAATTAGGAGATTAAAATGACAAAGGAAATCGGCGCCTAAAATAGGACGTTG